AAAACTTGACCTAGCCTCCATATAACTAATATAATGATTTTCGAACAACCGGCTGAACATACTCCATATGATTGGTGATTGGTGGGAACCTTGATGAAGTCTTGGAAATATTTTATTAGTCTATCGCCTTTTAACGGCATGTAGTATTGCAAAAAAAAAAAAAAAATATAGAAAAAATCGGTTCAATGCTGCAAAATTAACTGAATGTATAAAATTGGATATAGTTTCATGGCAAAAATATCTGAAATTTGTCTACGAATTACGCATATTTCCACATACTACATATGCATAATTATTTTCGTTACTTTAATAAACATTATGCTAAATATGGTGGTAATATGAGTATGAGTTTTATACCATATATACTATACATATAAAATAGCTTGGATTCCGAACCTCTCGTTGACGTTTTGCACCTACAGATATTTCCCTGGCTTTAATCGTTGCAAGTACTATAATACAAATGTTCGTGATAAAGAGCCACTTGGTTTTAACAAATGTTGCAATTGTAATAGTTTTTTTGCTTTATTATTCAATTGATAAATAATTACAAAGCAAATTTTTGTCCTTTCCATATGTTTTATTTCCACTTTTAATGTGAAGATTTTTTAATTAAAATAATCAGTAGAAACTGCTGAGTAAATGATAAACACATTCTTATATATATATAGTATTAGTTGTCAAAAAAGCCTTGCGGTATTTTATTCGTCTCATCGGGTCATGCTATACCTTTTTGGAGAGCTAATTTCACGCGGTAACACGTGTTTGATTGATTGTCGTTTTTTTTTAAGCAAAATAAAGAGCAAATACGGCATATTTTACACTACGATAAAGGTAAAAATGCATCTCAAGCCATCAATAAAATTTGTGCAGTTTATGGATCCGATACAGTTTCCATTTTCACCGCACAACGATGGTTTCAACGTTTCCGTTCTGGTGTAGAGGTGGTCGAAGATGCGCCACGCTCCGGAACGCCTGTCGTCGAAAATTGCGATAACATCGCTGAATTGGCCGAAAGAGGCCGGCATAGTAGCAGCCGTAGCATCGGTCAAGAGCTGTGCATGAGTCATTAAAAAAAATTTTATGAACAATTGAAAATTCAATAAAAAATACCGCAAGACTTTTTTGACAACCTATGATGTATGCCACTAACATGTGGTTATGATGCTTTAAGAGGATTTTAATTATAATGAATTCACAAGAAACTTTATTTCGAATACTCCAGACTGGTTCAATGTGTCTGAAAATGAGATGAGATTTTTACGCATCAAATTTAAACGGGAATTTTAGAGGGATATAGTTTAAATGACACTAAATATTTATATATATACTATACACTTATATACATACATATGTGTATACTTATGTATGCATTTATGCGAATATATAAAATGCCATTATTTGATCGAAAGTCGAAAGTGAAAATTTTGACATAGAGTTTTTTGAAAAATATTTCTTATTTTTTTAGTAAAAACAACCCACAATTAAGAAAGTAGAAAAGTAGTAGTTAGCTTATCTTCTACCAAAATTCAGTTGCGCATGACAAATTAATTGCTACAGATTTCAAAACACTTACAATGTAATTATTATGTACATATGTATCCATGTAAACCTTGAGTACTCATACATTGTTTTAGGCAAATGTGACACACATATTTGTTAATGTATGTATGTAAGTATTCGTTTGTATAAAGATTTAAATATGAAAATGTACTTGCTACATCCGCATTTATCTTTTCAACAATCGGCATAAATATGTACACATATACATATGTATATATTATATGTATATATTATATGTATATATTATATGTGAAAGTATAATGTCGAAAAAGACATTGTTAGACAATGAAAGTTTTTAGAATCGTTCAAGCTGAGAAAGTATAAGTAACAATTTAAAACAAAATATGTAACTTTATCATTCAGACAGAATCTGAATTATTCGTTTACATATTATTATAAAGATAATAATGGAAAATATATATAATATAATATTGGTTAGGTTAGGTTATACTGACCGCCTGGCACGCCATATCTAGACCTACTGGTCCTTATTAATATTTAATAATTATTATACCAAATGGAAATTTTTTTAGTTTGAGGTGAACTTTAAGAGCCACTTGTTGTCCAAGTTCGATTCTTCGTTTGGTCCCTTGAACTCCGAAGCTCCTAGACACTTATGACGATTTCTAGATAGCGCTGCAAATGTGCATAGCAGTTGGTCCTGTGTCTCTCACCTGGGAACTGCTCTGGACTTTCTGCATGTATCGTCGGTTGTGAAATGAGGGTCAACAACTGGCTGGCAGTTCTTTCCAAACCGTGTGAGTTTTCCTAAGAGGCTTTTGCACATGATCTTTGCGTTCGTGCATGTACTTAAGGCATTCCATTTCGCACTGATTCGCCTGTCAGCCGTTTCGGAAAATTCATTGTAAATCTATTTCAGTGACTTCCGTATTTCTTGTACTTGTTCGGTAGCTAGACTTTTGGCCATCTGCATCAGCTGTTTCATTTCCCGGTATTCCTTTGTGGCCTGGAAATCAGTATATATGCAGCCAACTTCCAGCCGCCGTTACATCTACTTCTTCCCTGCTTCTAAGGATATTCTGTGAGGTAATGCGATGGGAGATTATTAATTTAATTGTTACCAGGCTATCGGATATATATATATATTCTTTTTATGTGGTTTCCTACACCGTTTTCAAAACTGCAAAGGCTTCACTGGCAGACACTGTCATATTTTGGAAGCAAAGATCCGGCTCTGAGCAATAGATTCCGGCTCGCACTCTATTCGCCGTTTTTGATCCGTCTGTATAGATGTTGTAGGTTCCGCTGAATTTGTTAGCTAGTGAGGTGTAGTTTTCGTAAATATATGCTTCGACATGTAGGCCCATACAAATTTAAAGAGTTTTTCAATCTCGATCAATTATGACTGCGGATAAACTGAAATATTCGAGTTGGACTCGCTCAGCTGAACCCATTATACCAATTAATTTGGAACGTAACTAAAATAGAAGGCCAAATGTCGCGGTTCACCACATTTGTTTTCGTCAAGATATGGTTCAAAAACTTGCCAGAAGTGTCTAATTTATATATGTTATAATACAAAAATTAATTATAATTTTCTGGTCAAGTGCCAACCAGAGATTTTTTCTAAAACGTTCAAACATAAAACATGATATTTCAGTAAGAGTAAATACAGTTGCAGAGATCCACTTTTTTGATATTGCCAACTTTAAATTCTTACTATACCCTGACTAGGGTATAATGTGGGCTTATCTGTTATAAAATGTAAACTTTGAAAACTTTCAACGGAAAATGAAATTGAATATTAGGCTAGTGCTGAAGCCATTGAATATAGTAAGAAGTCAAAAAAATCACAGTAGAATGAAACGCTTTGGAAAAGGCAGATAAAATAATAAAAGAAAAAATAGTTTATAGACAATCTGGGAGGTTGGGAAAAACGGTTTATCTGAATTTCTACCAAAAAAACCAAAAAAAAAAAAAAAAGTTCTATAGAAAAAAGTTGCATGCCAAAGTTGTAGGTAACAAAAAAAGCTACAACTTTTATATAACCTCAAAATTTATGTGAAAACCTTAAATCAAGTTATTGGTGTCTTTATTTTTTTTATTATTATTATTATTATTTTACAAAAATCTTAGACTAACCTCTTTAATTAAGGTACAGAAGAAAATGTGTTGCAAGGTCAGTAAAACGCAATACCTTACTTATTTCATTCAATAATGTAGAAAATTTTTATTTGCTTTCATAATTCAGTTTACCATACATTAGCACGTGCATTTATTGTTAACATAATGCAAAAATGACGTACAATTATTCATACAAATGTGCACACTTAGAAATGTTTGTCACTTAGATTGTATGACAGCTTACTTATCTACTAGAATAGAACAGCACCGGTAAGACGAATTGATTAATAAACTGTTGTTAAAGTAAATATTTGAACAATGCATTGTCAGACAATTGTAGACCGAAGCAAAGACCAGGTAGGAAATGTTTGCTCCAAATTTGACTAGTCTTAGCGCTCTTTCTTTGGCAAAACTTGGAGAATGGTGAATAGAACAAACAACTGATATAAATCAATTTAATCGAATAGAGAAGAGAATACCTAGTAAGTTAAAATTAGTGGCATGGCGTAGTAATAAGAAAAATGGCTCCAAATAGATTAGAGGGAAAACCTGTATTCCATTCGCTAGAACTTGAAATGTAACGAATAAATCAATAAACTGGTATAAATTAAATAGACTGGCATAATATAATAAATAAGAAAATATCTGGTAGGTCAAAATATTGCTAGTTGTAGTAAGAAAATTCGCCCTCAAGTAGATTTTTAACTAACTTCAATTGGAGAAGATTTTAAGAGTGGCGTATAGAACAAACAACTAGTATAAATATATTCGATTATGCCGAATTGAAATAGATACATGCATAAACATGGATATATTCTAATATTTTTGAGAGAGAAATTGAGAATTGAAGACGGATGTGTGTTGCCAGTTGTAATAAATACTTTCAGTATTGATTTATATATTACTAGTTTATGCACAACTGAGATAGAATTTTTACGAAAAAAAGTTAACTTACATACAAAGTTATTAATCCGGTGAGTCAACAAACCAATTAGTTCAACCAACAACAACATGTGGTTGACGCTGGTTAACTCTACCGGCTTTAATGATTCTCAACGCTCAGCTGTTTAACCGCTGCAAAGTCGGAAGCAACGCGAGCGGCACAACTAACGCCGACATTCGCGATTGTGGCTTGATCATGGCACCAGAGTGTGGCACTGGCAGTGGTACTCACGGCAGCTCACGGCTAGCAGCTAGAAAGTGGCCTTAGCACGCCGAACGGCTGCACTGTGACTGCGAAGTCAACAATGCAGTCAACGTCAGCGTCACTTTAGCGTTTGTAAGTGCGCTGTTTTACGTTCGGCGCGTACAATTGCCGAGGGAACCAACCTGCAATTGCTGGCGGCAAAAGTAAATGTATCTTTTAGTATTCAAGATATCGTAGCGCGATAAAGACGCCCAGAAAACATATCGGAGTGACTTACATCAACACTAAAATATATAATAATAAATGCGTTGGAATACGACAAATGGTTTCTAATAGCAATTAAATTACAAAATAAAAAAAACACATTTTGTATTTAATTGAAAAAAGATTTGAGACAATTTACAATAAAGTGTTGGTGCAATTAAATACAAAAACAAACAAATTACTTTGATTTTTTTTTTTGCAAATTTTGCGCTTTTTGTTTGGAGAATTTTTTGTTGCCGGCTTAAAAAACAGTTGTGTGCATAATTTTTGCAAGAAACGTGCAAAAAAATAAATGCAAAACAGCAAGCAAAACAAAATAGAAAATATAAACAAGTGTCAGTTAAAATATTATGCGTCGCAAATAAATAAAAAACATAAAAAAATACAGAAAACTGGTTTGTGAAAATAAAATCCAATTAGTTTGCAGCAGAAGGGAAATATACAACGTGTAACAAGCAAAATGATCGTCGAAAGTGAGGTGTGTGTGCGTTTACATAATGACATAAGTAATTTTAATTTTTTTTTTTATACAATCGTTAATGATTATTAACGTGAATTTATTTGGAGTAATATGTTAAAGGAGCTTAAGTTGACTTAAGTCGAGTTTAGTTAAGGTTTATATATTTTTTGCTTTCTGGTAAAATTTCTCTGGTCACTTTGTTTATAGTGGATTCTAAAGTTAAAGTATAAAGTTGAAGAATTACCTCATGTCTTATATTTTTTTTAGGAAAACTGGTTTTGTCAAATTTGACTGAAGTTGACTTAAGCTTGTTAAACATATTATATTTACAGATCTTTGCAATGTACTTTTAATGTAAAAAAAATTTATTTATGTAGTTTCAAAGCATTAATTACTCAATTAGTTACTTAATTAAACATTTAATGACGTATTTAGTACATTTTATTGTGAACTCGTGCTCCTACTTGACAATAAAGTTCGTAGTTATGACTAGGTGTATAGATTATGTTTAGAATATTACACTGTTATATCGCTAAGACTATGCAAAATTTTTTAAAACAGAAAAATTATACTATTTTCATGCTCTTCTAAGTTAAGTTGCTATTAAGCCGATATATGGGTTTCCTCCGGTAAATAGATTCTTTTTCAACAATTTTTTTCTCATATAAAAATTAGATATTTTATTACAATTGTTTATTGTTACAAACATCTACCATTAACGAAGAAATTCTGAAATTTTTGGAAAAAAATATTTCAAACTCGTCCATTGCGACGGCATTTCCGGTGACCCCTCGGAAAAAAGATGCGCCCGTGTTGGCAGGGCAACTCTTTACAGGATCATCTAAAGTGAAAAAATACGTGGTTTAGTTAAAACCTTATCTTAGAACTTGGAAGAAGGAAAAAAAACTGAAAATTGGATTTTTTGCAGATACTTGAGATGAAAATTGCAATGAAAATTTCGCGACATTTTTTTTCAAATAGTTGTAATCGAAAAAACATTTTCTTTAAGAATTGTATCTCGAAGACCTGTGTGAAGAACGGTTTAGTAGTTCTCGAGAAATCTTCTCAGTGGACTTCAAAACACAGTTTCGAGAAAAACGCGAGAAAAAAGACGACGCACTTAGCCTATCTAGCCTCGAGCGCAAAAATTCTTATGGCTGTACCTCTGAAACTATTACTCGAATCACCTTGAAAATATTGGACATTTTTCTAAAGGTGTTGTAGAATTTAATAAGACAATAAAAAAAAATCGATAGTTTGAAAACCGTAAATCCATGTAGTCCCTTCAGAAAATACTTTAATTATTTATTGGTTAATTCCATTTGTGAATTTGAAAATATCGATTTTGGCTTTTCAATATATGTATATCGTACGTATGTATGTATATAAGAAGTAAATATGTAGACTTATATATATACATGTAGTATATATATTTGAAAATATACTCCGAGGTAGATGGGCTAAATAGTTGCGGCGCTTTTTGGTATGAAACACGTTTTTCCCGAAAGGCTGTCGAGGAGAAAAATTTCTCCGAAACGGCTTAACCAATCGGCTTGAATATTGTGTACAATACATATTTATCAAGTTACGATCGCAGAAACAAAATTTTTTATAATAATTTCGTTTTTACAATGTAATTTTTCAAAGTATACTTTGTTTCGCAAAAAGTACTTTTTTTTAAGAAAACATTTAGTCAAAAATAAAAATTTTGACTTATGTTTCGCTCATTACCTCTACCATTATGCATCTATTTTTTTTATTTGAGATAATTTTAAACATAAAAAAGCCGCCGCCAGGCACTCTTTTCGAAGTGCTCCTGATCTTTAGACAACGTCATATAAGGCTTCCAAAATTTTTTAACGTGTATCGTCGATCATTAGATTCTATAAATATGTCTTATTTTTATTTATTTATTATATAAAATATCTCTTCAAAAATAAATCATTAAAAACTCWTAAATTCTTAGAAAATATTTTGCCTTTATATCTATAATTTATTAGAAAAAAAAAATCATATTTACTTTTACTTTCAACAAATTATTACAATTTTCTCTACATTAACATGATTTTATTCATTTGAAAAGCGAAAAATAGAAATTTCCCCAAATTTAATTAAATTAGAATGAGAAAGTGTGTCACAATTTTACAACACAATTGCTTCAAACATTGAAATTAATAAAGCCTATATAAATATTTAAATGTTTTAGCATACACATACATACATATATGTCATATTTACATGCAGTGATTTGTATGTTCAATAAGCCACAGCGTTCATTCAACGCCATTGAAGAAACCACGCACAAATGTGCAACACTTGCGCAAACCAAATTAAAGGCAACAAACAAATATATTTACAAACATACACACACCGCTGCACTTTTATGTACTCTACATATGTATGTATAGGTATGCATTTCTTTGCATGTGCCCAAACACGGCTGCTTGAGTGATGAATGGAAAATTTCCACAAATGCAGACAAACTACATACATACATATGGTTGTAAATGTATGTACAAACTTGCATATATGTATACATATGTATTTATGCTTCACTAAAGAGAGCACAAGAATTAAAAGTGAATAAAAGACCAATGAGACACCGTCGAAGAAGCGTGTGGCGCTGAGTACGCACAAATATCGGCCCGGTCGACTGATTGTCTAACCGTACGTCTGTTTATATTTGCGGTAGAGGCAACGATATCGAATGTGGCATGATATTTCTGAATTTTTGGGATTTCTTCTTTGCGTGTAGTTCTGGCAGTTAGGGATGGTTGGAAAATATTGGTGTTTTTCAAACAGTTTTCAAAATACGAATGGCAACACTGAGTTCAACTAATTGATTCCTTGATATGAGGGAATATAATAGAGATCTATATAATATGTACTAGCGGTTTGTTCCATTAATTTGAAATACAATTTCTAAATTCCCTGCTCAATTCGAAAACCAATGAACCACCTTTTTTACCGTAAAAAATACATAAATTTGACAGTTAATCGTCGTCTCATATCCGCATTTTCAATAAGTAGAGCACTACTGATTTTTAAATCACTTTTATTAAAATCCCGAAATTTCGGGGTTGTCAAATATAGCTGCTGCTATCCTACTATACCAGTTTATAATGTAGCCCTGCTAACCCGTCCAAAACTTTATTTAAAATCCCGAAATTTTGGTATTTCGGGATTGTCAGACTTGGCTGCTGCTATAATTCCTACTATACCGGTTAGTAATGTAGCACTGATAAACTGTTAGAAATTTTTATTAGAACCCCGAAATTTTGGTGTCTCGGGATTGTCAAACATAACTACTGCTGCACTCCCTACTATACCAATTAATAGCGTAGGACTGATCCATTAATTTTTTTTTTTATTAATTAAAACCCCGAAATTTCGGTATTTCGGAACTGCCAGTCATAGCTTGTGCTCCCTACTATACCACTTAATAATATAGCACCGATAAGCTGTCAGAAACTTTGGTTTGCTATAAATAAAAAAACATTTCACAAATAATCAAAGTTTCTGCTTGGATTCGGCAATATTACAATAAACATTTTGGTAATCGAATTCACTTCCTGCTTGTTTGTAAAACTCAGTTTGCGTATACGCTAAAAATTCCAGTTTATTTGAATATTAAACAGCTGCGGTCTTAAGCGGAAAATTACGTAAGCTATAAATCTATAATTGCCATTACAACTAAAAACCAGTCACGTTACCCACATACATATATTTTTAAATACAAAGAAGACGTCTTTAATTACAAGGTATTTTTCCAAAGAGTTCATCAATTTCTTTTCAACTTTTCTTGAATTATTTTCGCATTGCTTTACATATTCGGTTAGAATTGCATTTCAAGAATATGAAATGCTGTAGAACTGCTCAAATAAACAATAATCCCGTTGCTAGCTGTGTTTTGGCATTTAAAAATCACGTGATCAGCATAAATATGTGACGTTAATTGCGTCCGTTGTATGACATTTAAATATCGTATAACTAAATTTCGCTCTTTTTTTATGGTGCTGTCCTCATGTGCGAATAGAACGCTCGTTGAGTACGCATCTTTACAGTTATATGTATATTCATAGCTTCATTTGTACAAACATGGCAATAATCGTTCATTTAGCGACATAAGCGTTTAATTGTCATTCGTCACAATAACAATCTTCAGACACAATTACCGTAAATCACAGATAAGGTTGACAAACGTGTGAAATTTTTGAGTTGTCACACACTGCGTTATTCTCGTTTTCCTTTACTGTAAGACATAGTTAACATAATGGTTTCATAATTTCATAGGATTTGTTGTTGTAGTGAAGCTTCTTCTACTTATTATACTTTAATTGAAGGAATTTGTAACGCAATTGAAATTGAAGGCTTTAACGATCTTTCAAATTAGCTGTCTTCGATTCGCCATTCTTGCGCGTTGGCCTCTTGTGAAAAGCAACAATAAAGTTATTGACTTAACTTTGCGCAAAAGCATACTCGCATACCTCTTTAAATAGAGTGTTTCCAATTTGTTTAAACATCAGTTTAGTTTGTTCGATTCGCTACTCTTCAAAGTTTGGCGAATCGAAGAGCGCTATTATTATTTGTTAGACCAATAATTCAAGTAAAATGTAATGTTCGCCTTTAATAGTGTTCTTCTGGGAAAGCAGAATATGGTCACAGATATTAATATATACATATATACATATATACATATATGCTGTTTTTGTGCACATTTGACAATGCTAACCGATTAGACTATCTTTGAAATCTAGTACTAAATTACCAATGTATGTAAGTATAGTGCATACATATATGTGGACACTCCCTTCGATAGCGTAAAAAGGTGACTAACCCGAGTCAAGAGATGCTGCAGAGAGGTTGGTTTGAATATCAACTCCGGCCATTGTCCCATTTACGAGACGCAAGTCTCTACCTGGCGAGGAACCCTCGTATTATCACTAACTATATCTCAAGGGAGTTCACTAAGAAGTTTAAAGTTACCCTTTGCAATAAGGCTGAATGTAACGATTCCG